AGGTGTATTGGTGAGGGTTGGTTAAGAACAAGCTAGTAATCTCAAAATGGACAGACAACACAGATAGTTAATGGTTAGAAACCAAGTAAAAAGAAGATTTGTCGAATTTAATAAGCCAGTAACCACAAAATGGACAGACAACACAGATAACCAATGGTTAGAAATCAAGTATCCAGGGTGAAAGTAAAAGGAAGATTTATTGAATTTATTTATTATTATTATTATTATTATTATTATTATTATTATTATTATTTTGCGAAAGTAATATATAAACACGTTTTGAAGAACAGATTGGTGAAGTGCTTTATTTTCAGGAAGAATAGACATTATACATCAGTTGTCCCAACCATTATTTTAGCTCCTTTTTCATCTGTTTATTCTAAAATCATAATTCCAAAACTACCACTGAATCGAGACTATAATTTGATTGCAACCGTTTCATGTTTAGTTCTGTTTTTGGAGACTATGTCTCAGAACTTGGAAACCATTGCTGAAAAATGAAAAATAAGAATATAAATGAAATCTTTATAACTTCATCACCAGATACATCCGCATTCTATATTTTAACTCAACATCAATCATGAAAACAACACTTCAATTTATGTCTGATCTGCATTACTCTAAACCACGTAGCTCCCTCGAAAACAGTCACCGCATCTACTATACTCTTAGCCTTTGATGTTTCACAACCATGAAATAGTAGTTCTACTTAAAAGGTACCACTCCAGAGGTAATCACCACTCTCCTACTTCCTATGTCCTTCTACCTTTCCATCATGTTCCCCACACACTCACATCATTCCAGGAATAACTATATTCTTGTGTGATATAATTCTCAAGCGTATCCAAATGCTATGCTTGCTATGAACTAATGAATATAAAAAGACAGAACAAAGTACATTAATGCAATTTTTATTTTACTATTGCAAGTAGTTTCATAAACAAAATCATAAATATCTAGCCTAGATAAATAAACTAAATTCATTCCTATTGTAGCTCATATTGAAAAAATCTGAAAAGTTTTTCAAGGAGTCACGTACACAACCAAAAAGAAAATCATTATACGGTGTTAGAGCCATGATAACATTTTTAATTCCACTCCCTTCCCCTAAAAACTGAAGATTGAGAAAGAGATACATAATTCTTATACCTTAAAACTAGGCTGTGAATAAGGTCAGGTGTAAGCCACATAAAAAATGCGAAGAGAGATTTTTAGATCACAGAGATTGAGCAAGTTAGAGCCCCTGTTTGTTTATTTTTTTAACATATTACTTTTAACTATTCTACGCGAGTCATTCTGGGAAGTGAGGCCAAACCCTTTGCAGACTCTTGCATACATTTAATGGATAAACACTACAGCTATATACGGGTTTATATTTAAGGTGGCAGTGAGAGGTTGCGAAAATATAGAAAGGGTGACTGCTATATATATTCAACTGAGAAAGGCCTAAAATTTGTCGATGTCTAGTGATAATAACAAACATAAGAATTTCATACCACTAAAATTACAAACATATGCGATGCGGAGACGGATTCAACGTGAGAATGATGTGTATTATGTGTTGTAATATGCCAATTAAGACTTTTATAATAGTCGTTACTTAACACTAATTTCTACATACAGTTATTTCACTTCTGCAAAGGGAAATAAAACTATGGCCCTGTTCGAGCCATATCCTTTGAAAAAAAATACATTTTTAAACAATGATTTGACATTATTTCATTCACAAATTTTTCAATAAAATAATATTACATGCAAATCTGAAAATTTCCTCATTTTTTAATCACATGTTCTCCAAAATACATTCTTTCAAAATAATGTGGCTCAAACACATATTCTCCAAAATACATTCTCTCAAAATAATGTGGCTCAAACACATATTATAATAATTTTGCAATGCTAGAAAATATCGTAGATCAAAATTTGAGTGAGTTGTGTAAGAATAGATAATGTAAGAATTTTCTATACCATACAAAGTACAACTCAAACTTTTCATGAAGAAGAATATTCAATTCCCCATAAGCGCAAGGAAATTTCAACACTAAAAATAAGATTGGTTTCAAGACTAAAAATAAGATTGGTTCCAAGACTATTGAACGACAAAATTTGAAAATCTTCAATTCGACGGACGGATGCATTTTCAGTTTAGTTTAAAACTCATGGTAGATCCTCTGTGCTGAATTTACGAAAAAAGTCTGCCCGTCTCAACTGTAGTATTGGAATTTGGTTTAAAAGAGATGAAAATTAATTTTTCAGCACCTATGATAGCAGCTCTCCAGGGCATTGAGGGTCTCTCCAGTCACAATCCGGCACAAAACAATGAGAGCCAAAAAAATACACAAAGATCAGAAGATTTTGTAGTTTAGAAACTGAGATAAGGTTGAATGAAAATGAACGTGCACAGAGGACATTATCAAGAATGAGGCTGTCAAAAATTTGAACTTTGCCAATGTGGCTGATTAGTACAGAGGTGCCATTTGGTAAATGTGTTTAAATCAATGTAAGTGAAAAAAGATTGGTCAACAGATCATATGATCTGTTGCACCTGTATCAATTATCCAGAAAGTGATTTTTGGTTTGAAAGAGGCTGTATTACAAAAGTTAATACCTTCTGTGATGGTAGCTACCATAGGATTTTATGTTTTGGAGGATGGTATTTGTTGAGTTTTGGCAAAAGCTAGGAATTGTTGGCAAAGATCTTGATCGGATAAAGTGCCTGGTTCTCCATCATTTGTAGATTAGTCTAATATCACAGCATGTGCAGCAGCCAGCATTCGTGATCCTCCAGGTCCTTTCCCGCCAAGGGATAACCTATGAGCTGAAAACATTTATCTGCAGAGTAATTGAAATATCCACAATGAGTGCATTTAGGCTTCTTCTTATCCTTCCAAGATGAAGGTCTGTTAAATGTTCTAATAGGCTGTTTTGCTGCATTGCAACCGATTTTGTGAATGAGTTGTAAGTATTATGCCCTAGGTCCAATCAACTTTGGACATAAATACTTTTAATATATAATTAATGCAATTAAATGGCAGATCTATTATTTAATTAATAGACAATTAAATAAATAATAGAGTCCGTAGATTCAAATATTTGTAATTTGTTAATCACAAAGAGTTGTGATTGTGAGATACAAATTACATCTGATTGAATCTTAAATCATCCGTGGTCGTAAGTAATAACGAGATACGGATATCGTTATAACTGATAGGCCATCACGTGTGGCATTTCTTACTTGTGAAGTAAGTAGCTGATCTCACAAGTTAAAGTGTGGTGACACTTAAATGAACACGTGGATGTTTGTTATAGAACAAAACATTGGAGACCCGTCGAGAGATTCCACATGGATAACTATCTGAGTGTCGGTGGTTAATTTCTAACGTTCGGTAGTGAAATTGGTCCTTTGACTTGAGGTAGTCATGGTACCTTATATGAGGACAATCATACTTTGGCGGTGTTGGATGTTGCTCTGAAAAGGGCCGCTAATACGACATCGTTCGGGTACGTCAAGAATCGTATGAAGGTTGTGATTGATCAATAAAGGATTCGTCACTCTTGAATAGTAGGAGATTATGATCTGCGTTTCATTCAATTAAGTCAATGATGAAATCCTTGGCCAAGGTGTACTCATAAGTCGAAAAGGAGTTTTCGATTTATATTGACTTAATAGTGGAGTGAAAGATATGATCGATGATCGAGATTGACACAATTCCATATCTTGTAATTGATCGAATCATATTGACGAAGGGATTATAGTTTCACGGTAAACGAACGAATTTGATTTTGTCATACCACGTGACATTTCCCGTCACATGTATTGCCCTGACACATTGCTAGATGTCAATCAGAGACGGCGAGTGTGAATTGACGATAAATTAAAAGGGTGTTTTAATTTATCAATTTTGATTAGATCAAAATAATATTTCACGTCGTTAGGCATCGTAGTCGGGAACCTAATGGGTCGCACACAAAAGAGAATTGGAAGATTGCAAATTGCCAATTGGTTAATTTAACAATCGTTGGATAAATTAATTAATTGGATTTGTTATTTATATTTTCGAATTAATTAATTGGATTAATTAATTCAAGGACCGGGTTTAATTAATTGGATTAATTAATTATTGGACTGAACCGGGCCGAGCCTGTTTGGGTTTATATAAATACATAACTAGGGTTTGAGGTCGATTATGGTTTTCATTATTCTTGCTGGCACAAGAGAAAACCCTAGAGGCTGCAATCATATTCTCTGTGTGGATCACCGTTGGAGGCTGGACAATTGGACAGCTGTGGTGGCGAATCAAGGTTGTGGAACGAAAAGAAAAGCAAAAGGATTGCAAATCTGAAAAAGGTATAATCTTATCACAATTTCTATCTAAACACAAAGGCGATTCTTGGTGGGGATCGAAAATTATTTTAAATTTCGCTGTGCATGTATAAGTAGATTCCCAACATGAGTGAGTATGTAGTTCTTGTTGGCTTACTTCTTGAAGAAGAAGAGCATATACTCGAGCTGATGATGGAAGTAGAGAAGTGAGTAGCAATTGGCTTCTTAATGCAGAATAGGATTCATTGAGGCCAATGAGAAACTTCAGAGCGGCATTTGATTGCTGTGCATCGAATATGCTACATAGTATATCACAAGTGCAGTTGGAAATCATTCCACAGCTTCATTAGTCAGGTCTATTTTAGCAGAATAACAGCATTACAGTTAGCCTAACAACAACTTTAACTACCTAATTGTATCTACCTAACTACCATGGCATAACTGATTAATTGTCATCTGGCTAATATGGAAGTAACTGACTTGGCTAATGTGGAAGTTGACTTGGTTGAAGTGAATGCAACTGAATCTGTATTATTACTAGACCAGACTTGGCCTATCGGTCAAAGTTCTTAGTCAATTTACGTCTTAACCTACTCAGTCACATTTGGATGCAGCTCACAGAGTTCTCAGGTACATTAAGGCTACTCCCAACTAAATCTTATTCTTTCCCACCACCTTAGCGTTGCTTCTCAAGGCTTACAGATACATTGCTTGGGCTGGTTGTCTTGATACTAGGTGCAGCATTCCTAGTTTTTCCATTTTCCTTGATAAGTCCTTAATTTCATGGAAATTCGAGAAATAGGCTATAGTCAGTAGGTCCTCTGCTGAAGCTGAGTATGTAGCACTAGCTTTCACAACCTGTGAGGTCTAATGGCTAGTCTATCTTTTACAAGATTTGGTTGTCTATCATACTCAACTTGCACTCTTAGATATTGAAAGTACTCTCCACTGATACAAATCCTGTTAAGCACGTTTGAACCAAGCAAATTCAGATTGATTACCACCTTGTTTGAGAGAAATTGCAATCTTGATTAGTTAAGATCATCCATGTTCGTTGGCAGATATGTTAACAAAACCCCTTGGTTCACATAAATATTGGATAAGTATCTTAAACATCCATGCCCCTCTTGAGAGGGGGGCGGGGTTCTTATGATACATACGATACAGATTCAGTTGCCTCTACTTCAGCCAAGTCAATTACCAGCCAGATGACAGTTAAATAAGTTATGCTAGAATGACAGTTAGGTAGTTAAAGTTGTTGCTAGACCTAACTGAAATGCTGTTATTCAGCTTATATATCCCCAACAAATGTAGCCATTTCAATTCAATAATAACACTCAAAATTCATCATCTTCTTCTATGTTCTCTTCTTTTCTTTCATGACAGCTAATTCTAACTTCTTGATGAAACTACGGTTCTCGATTCAGGAATTTCACATGTTGTGCTAATAATGGTACTGTTTTGTTTAATCAAGTGTCTATTTTGCTTTAAATTTTTTACAATGGTGCTATTATTGAGTGAAGTTCAATTTTAATGTCAAAAAGAAAAAAAAATGCACATCTACATCGTGATAATTTTCAATAGCAATAATAAGATATGCATACTACATCCTATTTAAAAGTTAAAACATTTTCAGAGTTTAATATGCTTTATAGTTGATAAATCTAGTCCCCTAATGTGCACATCAAATTTCTTTATTTTATTAAAAGTCTACCATTTGAAATTTTAATAAATCGGTGAAGTTGAATGTGTGATTATAAAGTTCATTTTTATGTCTTATCTGTTAATACCTATTTGTTAATTAATAGGTATGTACTGTAAAGTGAGATCTGTCCTGAAAGATAATAAGTATACAGTTTACTGCATATTTTGGCTGACATTTTAAGCAAACTTGGATTGGTTAAAGCATTTTTTTTTATTAAATGAAGAGCGTCTTGAAAAATATTTGAGTAATAAGTGCTTATACTTCTTCAAATTTTTCATTTTTTCTGAACAATTATGAGAACATTTCCCCTACTTCTTTTACTCAACTTTTCTTTTTTATTTAATTATTTTTGCTCTATTGCGATACAGGTGCATGATAGATTGTAAAATTAAAAATGAAATCTCATAAAAATTTTAAAAGTGCGTTTGACTTGGAGAGTTAAATTCACTCTTTGTTTTAATTCAAGATACAAAGACCTCTTTTGGCTCTTAAAACATAAATTAACTTTGCCAAATAGAAGGCGAGAAATTAATAAAGTGCCTTTTGAAAATGCATCATACACATTCAATTTCCACTGGCAAAAAAGAAATAAACATTCCAAACACCCTCACAAGGGGCGGTGTGATTGAAATAGAAAAGAAATTGATTTAAGTTTGAACCAACAAAAATTCGATAGTCAAAATGAACTTCAACGAAATTTCCTTTTTTCTTTTACAGAAGAAAATTTCTTGTAAGTTGATCAAGCAATATTGTTTTTACCCAATAAGTAGAATTATTCATAATTCTATAGATCCACATGTGATCTATATTTCAACATTCTTAAATTGCATGAACCAAACAACAAAAGTCTAATTTGAAACTAATCGCTTGGCTAAACTTTGTGGATAAATTTTATCTGCGGTCAACTGAACTTTCAAGAAAACTTCAATTGGACCACTAAACTTCAATTCAATTTAATTAGGTCAATGTTTCAAATTCCACTAATATGTCACATGACATCTTCCAAATTGATGAAAACTAATTTCCAGCCATACCACAATGTATCTTTTACATAATCATCATGTAACAATTAAGCGGATGAAAATTTATAGTTTGACTGTCAACTAAGCAATTTCCATCATCTTAAGAGGACTTGAAGTGATGGAATGTGACAAAGTGCTGAAATTTAACACTAAACTTTAGTTTAATGATCCAATCGAAATTTTCTTGAAAGTTCAGTTAACTGCAGATAAAATTTACCCTAACCTTGCTTTTATCAGACCTTTAACTGAGCCGACAAGGGCAAACATTATCACTAGCAATGTAACAAAAACATAAATTCGAAGAACAATGAACTTGCTTGTCCAACGTCCAATATTTTTCTGCACTAAGTACATTTCCACCGGGAAATATACAACGATAAGCCAAAAGTTAATAGCTCCAGCCACTCCCACAACTTGGTTAAAGTAAGGAAAAAGTATGGCAAATCCAGTCGTGAATGCAACATAAGAAGTTCGAAAGCACAGCCTCAGAAGATTCAGTTTCAAAACTGGTACTTGTTTCAGGTCATAATTTTTATGAACAAATTTACTGTTAGGGAATTTCTTGGAAGCCCATTTTTCAACATATGCAAAGAGTGGCTGACTGAATACCTGAGATGAATAAAAGTTTTAACTTCTTCATGAAATTTATAGGATAGATTAAAAAATATTGATGTTCAGAGAGAGGAATACCTGATATCCTCCGACTACATGAAGAGCGACGTAGGCATTAGTGAAGCTTACGAGCCAATATGGCTCATAAAAACCAAATCCTGTCAGAAGGTTACCCGGAGTAGAATTCCCAAAAGCCGCATATCCAAATCCTCCGTAGAATAGGTAGAAGGAAGTTGTTATGCAGACTGCCACGATAGATGCCCTCGTCATGGTGACTTTTTCCGGTGGCATTGACGTCAGAGTACCTTCATCCACAATACAACTTTTTAGTGTGCGTTTTGTAAAGAAAATTAGACAGGACCAGACAATATATAAACAAGATTTTAACTTTTTGTTTCTTAGAAGTGTAGAGTGCTTGCTATACAATCCCCTCTACCAAAACTGTATGTTCTTCACTATTGGTTCATGCTACTTAAAAAGTAAATCTCTTGACCTGTATCTCGAGAAAAATAACAGAGAAGGAGAAAGCATATGCAATATTCCCAAGCGCTTCAGAACTAGCCCATACTTTTCCAGCAGCAGTAGCAGTTGGTACTCCTCCAATGCTACCTTTTACTACTCCATTCTCTGTGAATTCAAGTGAAAGGGTCAAAATATATTTGTTTCAATACTCTTGCAAAATCTTCATTTTCGTCTCTTACGTATTACTTTTGCCAAGCCAAGTGCCGATCCAATAATAGAATACGTGAATGACATGATTGCCGCAATAACAGAGAGCCATATGGTATTTCGAAAATTTGGCATTTGAGATGCAATAGTTTGAATAATTCCAAATGTAAGCATATAACGAACATTCTCATATTTACATGCCGCTTTGTGCCCCTCAGTATGGTAACAATTTGATCTCTGAATTGCGCTGTATCAATAGAAAACAACAATTAAGAGTGTCACATGTTCTCAATAGCAAACAAAGACAAGGAGATGTAAACTTTTGGAGCCTTCATCATGGCAGGATTGCTCGATGAGCCTAAACTGGCTAACTAACAAGGAATACATTATGCTGTTTAGGAAAGTAAAATGCAACAAAAATATAACATAAACCAAAATGAATGGCATTTATTTCTTGTGAATAATCAGAATGGGACAAATAAGAAATCGACATACCTCAGGCTGATGGAGAATGCAATTGTATGGACAATACCTAGCTTGATGAAATTATTGCGTACAACGAAGCCACACACCCAAGCATTCTTTCTTCCTGAGATTGATGGTGTACAATGTAATGTAATATCTACCCTTTTATGTTATCTATAATATATTAAATATTACATCAACTGAGAATAATCTTTTGAACGATTTTAACCCTATTATAATTCAATTATTTCAATAATCCTTTTCGTTTTGAAATTTGTAAATTAGTTTCAAAAATCCCTCTCTTTTAGACTTTTGCAGCGAAGTAAAGATGATAAGAAAAAATAGAGGAACTGAGTTCTTTCTAGATTCTGGGCCTGCCTTTAATGCTATGCAGATTCCATCGAGACCAGAGGACAGAACTCAGAAGTCTGTGGTACTGTTTTCTTCCACTAACAAAGGATTCCATATTGCTTTTAGCATAAAACAAATAGAGCTGTGCATTCTTAAGATACCAATTTAAAAGGTTCCATATTGCTTACATCCGTAAAACAAAAAGGAGTTATACATAAGGTTAGAGAGAGATGCTCTCAACTTTAGTGAGAGAAAGTCCCACTTTGAGTGCCTTGCCTTATTGAATTTTCTAGTGATTCTTCATTTGTTTTAGTTTGATATTTACTTTCATTGGTGAAAATCAAATTATTACATATTGGTTCTGTTTTCGGATTGCTCTTTGTCAGTTTTGGATTTTATCTAAGCTGCCATTATCGTCTTCTTCACTACTCCATTTTCGGCCAGCTTGGTGCATTGCTGTTTGGTTTTTTTGCTGCTGGAGTTTTTCTGTTTTGCTGCTGCCATTTTCGTATTCTTCAAAGCTCCACATCCGATTTCTGTATTGGGCAGCTTTGGTGCATTGATGTTCAGTTTTTTACCTGTTGCTAGAGTTTTCTGGTTTGCTCTTGCTTGTTCATCTTGGTTGGCAGTGTTACTAAGCTTCGTTCTTCAACTTTGAGCCTCGTTGGTTCAGCATCTTTCTTGCTGGACGGTTTCCACTACTGGGTTAAATTACTTTGGAATCTCCATCTGGGTTTTCTGTCCAGTTTGTCTCCTCATTTGGTGGTTTAAGTTCCTGCCAGTGGTTTGTTTGGTTTTCATTCTCAGCTTCAGTTTTGGTGTTCTCCATCTTCCATGGTGTTCTTGGGCTGTTTGTATGTATTTTGTATACATCCTTGCATGCAAATTTGATTTGTTTTCAATCTGTTCTGACGGTTCCAGCTATTTTTCTGCCTGCTTCTGGATATTCCCTGCTGTGCAGCCCTACTCTCTGAATTTTGCTATTTTAGTATAAACTTTTCAAGAGGTTGGTGGTTGATTTGGTTGACCTTTGTTTGGGCCGGATTCCTCTTGGTTTCTGGTCGGGTCTGGGCCCCTCTTTGGGCTGGACAGTGGTTTTCTTGCTGGACATTTTGGTTGGACTTTTTTGGCCCCCTTTACTTGGCCGGTTTGTCTGTTTGGTTTGGGCCTTTCTTGCTGGATTAATTGGCTCCTTTTATTTGGCTGGATTCCTGTTTGGTATTGGGCTGGTCTAGTCCACTCTGGTTGGGCTTTCTGTTGGTTGGTTCATGGTGGTTTATTTGGGCCTTTTTAGGGCTAGTTTCTGGGCCTTTGCTGGGCAATATTTTTGGACTTTCTTTGGGCCTTTTGGGGCCAGGTTCTGGCCTTTTCTGGGTGATCACTTGGGCCTTTCTGGGCAATCACTTGGGCCTTTTCTGGGCTGTTTTTCTAGGCCATTCTGCTGGTTTTTCTGGGCTTTTTTCGGACCTTCACTGGGCCTTTTAATTGGGCCGCTTTTTGCAGAATTTCTTGGGTTGCTTTGGTCCTTTTTCTGGGCCATTTAATTGGCCTGTTGTTTTGGTGGTCTCTCTTTCTGGATGGTTTCTTGTGGACTGGTTTTCTGCCTATTTATTGCTGGTCCTTTTCCTGAATTTCCCTATTGCTGGACGGTTTTCTGCTTTTTATTGCTGGTCCTTTACCTGGCCAATTTATTCTCTATGGGTAAGAATAAAATTTCTACTAAAAATTCTGCTTTGGGTGGACGTGCTTGTGATGCCTTTTCTAAGGCCAATGTTGATGGTGATCGATCAACTATGATTGGTAATTGTGAGCTAACTGGGCCGGGTCCCGTTAAACCCCGTAAGGCTGATTTTGTTAATGAATTGAACGTTGATGCTGTCTCTTCTATGACAAATACTGCTGGAACTGAAAAGGTTAGTTTGCCATCACCGAGCATTTCTTTAACACTTGGTGAAAATGATACGGAATCTGAAAATTCAGACTTTGATTCTAATTCGGGGGATTTAAAGAGCCTTAAGAATGCCCACGTTGCTAGGAAAAATGTTGGGACTGAAAATAATGCCTCATGGGTTGGCCTCTTTAAAAATAATCGAAAACTTGATGAAAACCTTAAGTTGTCGTTCTTTGAATCTCAATCGGATGAAGTTATTTTGAGTGCCATGGTGGAGGACAACATGGAGGATAAATGGGGTTTTGGTCTTGTGGGTTATTTTGCGGGTAGGTTTCCCCGCACTTCTCCAACTTTGCAAATCTTGGAAGGTTGAATACAAGTATTTTGTGCATGCAAGTGGTTGGTTGGTGTTCAAATTTGATACCGAGGTGGATAGATTGAAAGTTTTGCATGGGGGTCCGTACTTGGTATATGGAAGACCTCTAATGCTTAAAGTCATGCCTCGATATTTTGACTTTGATGATAAAGATGTGAGTATTATGCCGGCATGGATTAACTTGCCGGGTCTACCTATGGAATTTTGGAATGCTAAGGCATTGGGGATGATTGTCTCCAAAGTTGGTAAACCTATCTCCACGGATAACATAACGGCAAGTAGGGAAAGGGTCTCTTATGCTAGAGCTCTTATAGAGGTTGATGCTTCGAAGGAGCTTGTTAGGGTGGTCAATATTAGACTCCCTAATGGTGCGTTAAGGGTGCAAGAAATTCTATATGAGCACGAACCAAAATTTTGTGGTTTTTGCAAAGTTTTTGGACATACGGCTTTGGGATGCAAATTCAACACAACCGAGGGTGGAAAACTTAAAGGAAAAAAGGTTGAGATTGTTAAAGACTCTTCAAAGGCTATGAATGATGGGGTTTTGAAAATTACCGAAGGAAAAAAATTGACAGCTTCAGTTGGGCAGAAAGGGTAGAATTCTGTGCAAAAATCTGGACAGAATGGTGTCCAAAACGACCAGAATTCTGAGCTAAATTCTGGGCAGATTTTGGCCCAAAATGACCAGGAATCTGGAGAATTTATTGAAGATTCATTGGCTGACCAGTTGGGGGATGAATCGGGGCAGATTGAGGCCAGTTTTCAGAAGGTCGTTAGCAAGAAAAAAGGGCACTTGGGGGAAAAAAATCTGCCCATGTTGGGGCATCAAATAATGGGGCAGATTCATCTTTTATTCCCCCTCCGACAGATTCTAGCAAAGTAAATAATGAAAAGCTCAAGGGCAAGGTCGATGAGCAAAGTAAACCAGTTTTGATTGTTGCCAAGAAGAGGGGTCCCTCCCTTGCTTCTTCATCATGAAGATAGCATCTTGGAACATTAGGGGTATGAATCGACCCCTCAAACAAAATGGGATTCGGGAGTTCCTTAAGCTCCATTGTATTGATATCATGGCTATCTTGGAAACGAAGTTGGAGGAGCGAAAGTTGATGAGGATTTTGAGAAATAAGTTCATTGGCTTTTGGCATGCAAACAACTTTGCTACTCACAAAGGTGGACGTATTTTGATTTTGTGGAATCCATCCAAAGTCATTTTGGATGTGATGGAGGTTCATCCACAAATCATTCATTGTAAAGCTATTTGCAAGGTAACTTCCTTCACCTTCCTTGTTAGTTTTGTTTATGGCTTCCACACTATGGTTTGTAGAAGGCCTCTTTGGGAAAACATCATGGACTTCAACACAAATGTTGCATTGCCTTGGATGATTTTGGGGGACTTCAACAACGTCCTTAAATTTGATGAGAAAAGTAACGGTGCGGATGTCACCCCTTATGAAATCAAAGATCTTGCAAATTGTTGCCTTCAAGTGGGACTGACGGATGTACGGTCTATTGGCTGCTCACATGGACCAATGGCTCGGTTTGGAGCAAAATTGATAGGGCTATGATCAATGATATTTGGGTGCAAAATGGGCCACAAATTGGTACAAATTTTCTTCCCTCCGGTTGTCTTTCCGATCATTCACCTTGTATTGTTTCCGTTGATGATTGTGTTGGTAGCAGTAAGAAGCCTTTCAAGTTTTTTAACATGTGGACTATGTATGAAGATTTCCTTGATATTGTGCAATCTTCTTGGCGTGTTAATGTACGGGGGACTAAACAATTTGTTCTTTGCAAGAAGTTGAGGAAACTTAAGGTTGCTCTCAAGGACCTAAATTCTAAACACTTTGGTCACATTTCCACGAGGGCCAATGAGGCCAAAAGTGAATTGGAGGCTGCCCAAATTCAACTTGAAAATCAGCCCCGAAATCTGGAATTTTAGGTTTTGGTTAAAAGTTTGAGGAAGAAATCTCTTGAGTTGTGTGAAGCGGAGAGGAGCTTTTATTATCAAAAGGTTAAATGCATCTTCCTTAAGCAAAGTGATAAATGTACAAAGTTCTTTCATTCCATTGTCAAAAGAAACTCTCGAAGGAATTTTATTGCTACAATTATTAAAGAGGATGGGGAGTATTCTACTTCTCAACACCAAGTTGCTTTGGAATTTGTAAAATTCTATACTTCTTTGCTTGGAGTTTATTGCCCTTCTTGGCCGATTCAAAGGGAGATCATCACTAATGGTCCGTTAGTCTCATTGGAACAAGGCAACTCTTTGATCTGGGAGATTACCTATGATGAAGTTAAAGAAGCACTTTTTGATATCGGAGATGATAAATCTCCCGGTCCGGATGGTTACACTTCTTGTTTTTTCAAGAATGCATGGGG